GGCTGGCGGCCCGGCGGGACCGGAGCCCTGCCCGGAGGCGTCCAATAGGGAGGTCGGGGGTTGGGTCCCTGCTCTGTGCACGTAGATGTCAGCACCGCCCTTTCTCCAAGGAGACCCCTTCCTGTGCCGGAGCCCAGACTTCCTCTGCGAGGCGGTAGCCTCCTGAGGTTGGGGCTTTATGGCCCCTGGAAGCCTGGTCCGAGTCTCTGGGGTGACTGGGCAGCCCCTTTGCTTACATGGTTTTCCCGGACTGGTTCTGAGCCGGTCCGGTCAGAAATGCCAGCTGTGGCGGACTAAGAGGCCCCACTTCGGGGCAGGGCCCGCGGGGTGCAGCTGCGCTGCTGGGACCGGTCTCCGCTTGTCAAATGCTGCTTTCTCCTCGCTGCTTCCCCTGGTGCCCAGCAAAGTGGCTTTCACGCAGCCTGACTTTGCAGCCCTCGCCAGTCCTCCCGGTTAAGGGCGTTGCTCCTTTGCGTGCTCGGGTGCAGCCCTTTCTGACTTACCTGGAGGACTCCTGGGTGTCCTGTGGGCCTTCCAGGTCTCGCTTTATCCTCAGTTTTCTCAGCGACTGTCCCTGGTTTGGGGATGATGTAGTTCAGGGGTCCCTCTTCAGGCCTCCCATGTTTCAGCCTTTCCTTGAGCTGCTTCCCAGAGCTGCCTGCAAACCCCCCCGCCCCCCCTCCTCTGAGGGTGCCAAGCTTCCTCTTTCCTCCTAACCCAGTGGTCGGCAAACTGCGGCTCGCGAGTCACATTCGGCTCTTTTGCCCCTTGAGTGTGGCCACGAAGTTTCAATCGCACTGTACATGCGCGCCCGCACGTGGTATTTTGTGGAAGAGCCACACTCGAGGGGCCGCAGTTTGCCGACCGCTGTCCTAACCAATCAGAGCCCATCCATCTCACCAGCCTCCTTCCCCACCCCTGGGCTCCAGTGGCTGTGCCCCTGGCCTCTGCCATCATTGTCAGCAGATACTGTGTGGCAAGTCCCCACTCACTGAAATGCTTCCCTGTTGTAACCCTGCAGTGACTGTTGCTCATTCAATAAAGCCCAGACTCCACACCTGGCTGACAGGCCCTGACTGCCCAGCTCCTCACCACCACTCCCGGGGCCCTTCCTCTTTTTCTCTTCCTCAGACTTGCAGGCTGATCCGTCCTCGGAGCCCTTGCTGTGGCTGCCTCTTCTGCTGGGAGTGCCCCCCTTCCACATCATCCCAGGGACCCCCCCAAAGTTGTTCTCAGTTCCCCAGTGGCCTTTTTGCAGGGGCTTCCTCACTGCCTCGGCCCCTGGCTGTGGTCCCATTTTCCCAGCTTCTCCAGACCCATTTGGTTTTGTGTTGCCTTTCTCTTTTCCAGAAGCAGCATGGTGGGCCCTGTCTGTCCCTGGTGCAGGGCTGTGGTGTGTGGTCAGTGCTCAGAAGAAGGGTGGAATGAGGGAGACAGGAAAGCTGGTATCAGAGCAAGAAGAGGTGGTCTCCGGTGTGGTTCGCAGCGCTGGGTGATCCTGGGCCAGGCCTGAGGCCTGTGGGGACATCAGCTCTGCACCTTGGCTCTTTCTCTTGGTTCTCCCTGGTCATTCTTCCCTAGATCACAGCCTGGGTCGGCTCCTGCACCCCCTCCACCTGGCAGTGCTCATGTTGCTGTGTGTCCCTCTCGGAGGCTTTCTTGTGGCTACATTCCCATCACCAGCAGGCAGCAGGTTCTCAGTGTGTTTGGAAGGAATGACTGGATTATAAGGTGTCCAGTGCCCCATGCTTCATGTGCCATGAACAGGCCAGGAACCCCTCTTTTCATGTTCATCAGAAAGAAGCGGGGACTTGAGGAAATGTGGGAATGAGCCTCTGAACTGGAACATCCAAGAATGGCTAAGGCTAGAGCCCAGGGTAGAAAGGAGAGAGGCCAGAGGATGGGGGCAGGCACGGAGCGTGGCTCTTGGGAGCTGCTGCGTCCCTTCTTGGAAGAGCCCGGCTGGGCGGCCATCGCTGTCCCTGCTGCTGGTCTGTGCTCCTGACTTCTGTGGCCTTCAGGGGGAATAGCGTTCTCTCCTCCGTTGGGGAGAGGACATGCTAGACCAGGTTTCCCCATTGACTCGCTGTCGGACAGCACGGCCTGGAGCTGGGCTCCTGCAGAGTTGGTGCTGGTGGCTGCACTACCGGAAAGCCACCTCTTCCAGAAAGTTCTCTGGGAGGTCTACCACCTGCCAGGTCTTTGTCCCTCTTTCTCTCCTTCCATATTCTCTCTCCTCTCCTGGGAAACTTTGTTCCTTCCTGGCAGCGTGTCCTCCCTGTCAACCAGATCCCCTGGGCCTGGATCGAATTCCGTTTCCTCCGACTTTCTTGGGTCGAGGCAGCTCTGCCCAGTGGTGTTAGCAAGGCCCTGGGGGGCCGGGCAGGAGCTGACTTGGTTCCCGTCGACTGATTGCCACGGGTCCTGGTCTGTCCGGCTGGCTCAGCAGGCCTGTGCTCTGGCAAGGAGCCTTCCATATGTACCCCTCATTTAGTAAAATTTACCTTATTTCCTAAACACCTCTGGGGCACATGTTTTTAAGCCCAAATCTCTTCCAGAGTTCTTATGAATAATTAGTCTTACAGGATGAAGAGTGGTGTGGGCAGGGTCACCTGTGCAGAGGGAAGACTCTGGTTGGTCTAGATCAGGATTTTAAAAAGATTCCCAGGTGATTCTAATGTGCAGCCAAGGTTGAGAACCACTGGTCTAGATCTTGCCCCCACAAGGAGCCTGTCCCCTGAGGACCAGGTGCCATGCCGAGTCATGACCCCTGTGGTTTCTGGTGTTGCACATTTTTTTGTCAGGGGAGTCACGACCCAGACAGACCTGCTGCACCAGCCTGCAGGCCCCAGAAGACGGCAGACGTGCCCAGGGGGCAGCACCTTCCCAGGGGCCTGGTGCCAATCCCTCCTTCCTGCTTCTCCTTGGTGCTTTGGGTTCAGGAATGTGCAGGTGTCTTTGTCTTTTCAAATTCACACACCTGGCAGCCAGGCGAGTATTTCACGCGTGCATGTGTAAAAAGTTGCCATGACACCTTAGGCTCGGCCTTCCTCAGAGTGGATGTATGCTCCCGTCTTCGGTCCATCGCTCACATGCCCCTATGGTCAGGCAGGCCAGCATCGTTGCAGCTTCAGAGCTGAGAAGGCCACACTTCGGCAGGCACAGCGGGTCACGGTGGGGCCCGTGTTGGCCCACAGAGACTGCCATGCTGAGCTGTCAGGGATGACGGCAGACAGCGCCCTCGGTGCTGGCTACAGAGCCCCCCTGCTTTGTTTCAGGGCTCTGTTTACCTATGAAGGCAACAGCAATGACATCCGTGTGGCTGGCACTGGGGGTGAGTATGGCCAGGGGGATCCAGGGGCTCCCGGAGGGAGGGTGAGGGGGTGGAGGGAGAGTGGCTGTCAGGGCCCCAGCTCCAGTGGCATCTCGGCCCTCCCAGCAGCAGGAGGGCTTGGGCAGGCAGTGTTGAGGAGTTCTCTGGCCCCTGATCAGGCAGGATGGGGGGTCTCGGGGGTTTCCAGGTAAAAGTAAGCCCTCCTCCATGTTCTTGGCCTGAGGTGCCAGGCAGGGCTGCCCTGTGTTGCAGCTGGGAGAGCTCACGGTGGCCTGGGCTGGAGGTGGAGGAGGGAGAGCAGGCGCACTTTTCCCTCTGCCCCATCTGATGGGTCGGGTGCAACAGTGCCCATGCTCAGCTGGGACGGGGTGACCTGGAAAAGTACTGCTGGCATGCGTGTCCGCGGCGGTCTTATAAGGAGGTCTCCCCTGGCCAGAGTTGGTGGGAGCGGGGCGAGCTGCAGCCCCCAGAGGTGCCTGGCTTCGTGTGCTCAGGCACAGTTTTGCCCCCAGCGGCTGGTTCTGAGGATTTGTTGGTAGAGAGCCCCGCCCTCTCTCCAGCACCTTCCCCCCTGCCCTCTTTCCAGAGGACTGCCACTGCGGTGGCCTCATGCGCTGGGACGCCCGTGGTGCTGGGATGCCATGGGCGACGGTTGCAGGGTTTAGCAGTTGAGCCCCTCTTCACAATCTGGGGAGGTGTGCAAGGCAGGTGAGAGCTGCAAACCCTAGCACATGGTGGGCCTCGGTCTCAGGGTCCAGAGAGAACGTCTTGGGCAGCCCTTCCTGCCCCGTCACTTCCTGTGAGCATCTAAGATTTGAGCCCTGAGGGTCGGTCCTGTCTGCTCACAGCCCTCCAAGGTGGCCCTGTAGTCTGAGCAGCCACATGGGCAGGGCCCTTTGTGGGATCCAGGAAAGAAGGGAGGTACGGGGAGAGAGAAGACACATCGATGGGTTGCCTCCTGTACACACCCTGACCAGGGCTGGGGATCGAACCTGCTACACAGGTACATGCCCTTGACCAGGAATCAGATATGTGACCATTTAGTGCACAGGCTGACACTCCAACTGCTGAGCCACACCAACCAGGGCTCATTTCTATTTTACAAAATGGTGTTTACACTAGTGCGATAAAAGTCACCGGAGTTTCGTCAGCACAGTCCTGCATCCGCCGGCTCGCCCTTCAGGCCAGGATCTTACTCTGATGCAGGAGGCAGCTTGGGCTTCCTTTCCTGATGGGTGGGGTCCTGGGTGGGCGGGGTGCCTGCTGCCTGTGACCCTCCTGTGACTGCTGCAGAGGGGGGCCTGGAGGAGGTGGTGGAGGAGCTCAACAGCGGGAAGGTGATGTACGCGTTCTGCAGGGTGAAGGACCCCAACTCTGGCCTGCCCAAGTTTGTCCTCATCAACTGGGTATGTGAAGCCTGGGGCTCAGGTCCGACCAGGAAGCCCTCTTTCCCTCCCGCCCTGAGTGATTGGAGCAGAAGAGAGTTCACAGCCGGAGGGCTAGTTCACTGTGGCCCAGAGAGGGCCCCTCACTCCCTCCGAGCCCAGAAATACTCCTGCAGAATGAAGTACCAACAACCACAGGACACCCTGTTCTCATCCCCTGGGAGCTGAGGGCTTGGAGAAAGGCTGGGGAGGCTCTGGTAGTGCAGGGCGGGCTGGTGGGGACAAGGATTTTCAATGCCCCATAGTGGAAGCTGCCCCAACAACCTGCCAAGTCCCTAGGAGGGCAGTGGCTTTAGGAAATGGGTAGGTCATGCTGGGTGTGTTGTGTTGCAGACGGGCGAGGGCGTGAACGATGTGCGGAAGGGTGTGTGTGCCAACCACGTCAGCACCATGGCCAGCTTCCTGAAGGTGAGGGCAGTCCCTGCAGGGCCTCAGTTCCTCGGGCCCCGTGTGCGTGGAACGAGTGACGGAACCCACAGTCAGCGTTGGAGGTGTGCCCCACGTCCTGCTCTGTCTGGGCCTCGGTGTGACGGAGGCTGCTCAGTGTGCAGAGGGGCCTGGGGGTGGCTTCAGGGGGGGCGGGGCCAAGGACTACGGGGAGCACCGGGCGGGAGCACCGCGCGGGCGGGAGCTGGTCCTGGCAGGCCTTGCTCCTGCCGGCCTCCTGAGTGCTGTGAACAGGACCCAGCCGTGATGCTGGGATTCGAGGAGGCAGGGGATTGCAGTGCCCACACATGTCCCCTCGGTGCACTTGTTCCCATCCGTTTCTGCATGTCAGTCATAAATGGAACCTTGTGTGGTTTCAAAAGCATTTGTTTTTGAGGGTCAGGTGACTGCATTTCCTTGGTCACTAGCAAGGAGACCCGGGACTTCGATTTCCAGTTCTGCCAACACTTCCTCAGATGTGCCTCCATTTCTCCAGCTAGGAGCTGGAAGAGAGGGTCACTGGGTGTTTGGTGACAGGGAGAGGCCAGGGCTGGCTCCTCCGTGGTCAGTGGCCCGTGTAGATGATGTGTGCTGGCTTCTACACGTCTGTCAGGGCTGGTGTCACTGATGAGAAAGAACCCTCCCTCTGATGCCTGAGCCATCTGCTCAAGGCAGAGCCACAGGACACGCTTCAGACACGAGGGCCTCACGCACGAGCAAGACAGGGGTCCTAACCTGCAGACAGACATGTGGCCTTTCCTGGAACTGCAGCAACTGTTCTCACTGCAGGGCGCCCACGTGACCATCAATGCGAGGGCCGAGGAGGACGTGGAGCCTGAGTGTATCATGCAGAAGGTGGCCAGGGCCTCGGGTGCCAACTACACTTTCCACAGGGAGAGTAGCCGCTTCCAGGACATGGGCCCCCAGGCCCCAGTGGTGAGTGGGGCTGGAGCCGTGGGTGGGGGGCATTCCCAGCTACCAGACGGCTGCCTCGACCTCGGCACCTGATCCCTCGGGTTGTCTCCTGCCTGCCTGGTCTCAAGGCCACAGCACCAGTGTGTCCTGTGTGGTGGCTGCCGTCGGGGAACAAGTGGCAGACAGGGCAGGCCCCTCCTAGTCGGGGCAGACGCCTATGGGCCTGTGGCCTTGGTGCTGGGTGGGGAGCCGAGACCCCTGACAGTAAGCAGGGGTCCATAGGGATGTGGTGGGCGCTGCCATAGTGGTCAGCTGTCTGCAGCTGGGGGGCCATCCTCCTAGGAATGGCTCCTGGCTAGAGGTAAGCCCTAGACCTGCCCTGGTTTCACCCACAGGGCCTGGCGCAGCCAGAGACCCACCCTGCTGTGTGGGCTGCACCTCCCTGCTCAGCAGTGTCCAAGGCCTTCAGGCCAACCTGCTATCAGCCTCCTTCGGGCACTGGGCTGGGGACACTGCGTCTGCCGGGTGCTGTCCTGACAGTCCCTGCCTGGGCCCTGCGCTCTGTCCCCGTCCCCGCAGGGCTCCGTGTACCAGAAGACCAATGCCGTGTCAGAGATCAAGAGGTTCGGCAAAGACAGCTTCTGGGCCAAAGCAGAGGTGAGTGCTGCCAGCGCGACAATGATTGCGGGCGTTTGTGGAGCGTCCAGTGTGCGCCAGGCATGGAGTAAGCCCGTCACTCTCTCTGCCAGTTTTCTCATAACAAGCTCTAGAATAACCCATGGGCGCAGACAGGAGTGTGGTGAAGGCCTGGGGCGGGGGGGCGGAGTGGAGGGGAGGGGGACAAAGGGGGGACGTCTGTAATACTTTCAACAATAAAGATAAATTAAACAAAAAACTGGTGCGATGTTCTCGTCCGTGCTAACCCCAGGGGTTAGCGGGTTAAGTGAGGAGGCTAGAGTTGCGCTGGGTTGGGCTGAGCACGCTCCCTGCAGGAGGAGGAGGAGCAGCGGCGGGCCCAGGAGAAGCGGCGGGCGGAGCAGGAGCGGCAGCAGCTGGAGCAGGAGCGCCGGGAGCGGGAGCTGCGGGAGGCCGCCCTCCGGGAGCAGCGCTACCAGGAGCAGGGCCAGGAGGCCAGGCAGAGGTGAGCCCCGGGGAGATGGGGCTGCCCGGGGTCAGCAGGCAGAGGCTCAGCGCTGCCCTCTGCCCTCCCAGCAGGAAATCTGAGCAGCAGGAAGTGGTTTCGAGGAGCAGAGAGGAACAGGTGAGGGGTGCTCACACCGGAGGGCCCGTCCCGCACTGGGTGGAGGCCGCCCGCTGCGAGCTGCCCTGCAGGTGGGAACCTGGGATGTGTGGGCGCACCTCACCCCGTCCCGGGGAGGCTGTGAGCCCCAGCACTGTGGGAGGTGGGCAGGCTCACGGTTCCCGCTCACCCTGGGGCTGTGCGTGCCCCCAGGAGCCTGGTCAGCAGTCACCTCGGCAGATGTTCATGCAGAAGGAGAGAGCCGTGTCCACCGCATCCACCTCCAGCCCCCAGCCAGGTGAGAGTTCTCTGTGCCTGGCCCTGTCCTGAGCAGGGCTAGGCGAGGGCTCGTGTAGGGACGAGTGAGCCAGGAGCACCTGTGCGTGAGGACAGCATCTGCCCTGACCTCCTGCAGAGCCAGACCTGGAGGAGAGGGTGGGGACCTCCAGCCCCGGCCCCATAAACCCTGGTAGAGATCACACTTGGCTGTCAGCTGGGTCCCAGGGGCCCACAGCAGTCACCTCTCTGGCCCCCAAAGGACACAGGACTAGTCCTCCAGCCAGCTCTCCCGCACTGCGCATGCCCCCAGGGGCTGCAGAGAGAGAGTCCCCATCCAGTCCCGGTGGGTGAGCAGGGCCCAGAGAGATCAGGGCTGTGTTCTCCCTGCCGCTGTGAGTCCTGTTCACTGTCGATTTGCAGGCAAACTGCGGAGCCCCTTCCTACAGAGGCAGCTCCCCCAGCCAGAGAGCCCCCTCGGCGGGGAGAGGGCTCACGCCGCCTCAAGGCCCAGCACAGGCAAGGCTCTCGGCCATCCTGGGGGTTGGGGTGGGGGGAGACGGGGTGGCCTCTCCCTCCCCAGGGTCCGAGCCGGCTGCACTGCCCTTGCAGGTGTCTGTGAGGAGCCCGCGCCCCGTGCCCCTGAGTGCCTGGTGCAGGCGGAGGAGGAGGCCCTGTACGAGGAGCCCCCAGAGCAGGAGACCCTCTACGAGGAGCCCCCCATGGTGGGTTCCCTGCACCTGGGTCAGGGCTGCGAGGACCTGGGCCCTGAGACAGCCTCCCCAGCCACACCTGGGAGGCTCACTACCTTAAATTTGGAGCCGCTTGTGCGATGATAAGCTGTGTGGCAAGCACCGCTGTGTGGGAGGTTCTGGGTGGGGAGCACTGTGAGGTCCCCGAGGCCTGGCCTTGGGCACAGCCGAGGGAGCCAGGACCCAGACTTCTCTCCGGTCCGGCAGGAGGAGCAGCAGGACACTGGCTCTGTGCGTGTGGACCACTACCCCGGGCTGAGCGGGAAGGGCCTCTGTGCCCGGGCCCTGTACGACTACCAGGCAGGTACCGTGCCAACCCACCCCCGCCACAGGCTCCTCAGGGGGGCAGCCCCAGGGGTGTCAGAAGACAGGAGGGCGAGAGAGGAGCAGGCCTCTCTGTGGGTCCTAGGCAGCTCTTCATCCACAGCGTGACTCCCCTGTGCCACCCTCATCGTAGAGCCTGAAGGTGTGACTGAGCGGTGGCTCTGGGGGTGTCCTTGGTGCGGGAGGAAGTGCTGTCTCCAGCCTTTGGCTGGGACGGGCCCAGAGCCAGGCCCTAGGGGAAGGTGTGTAGGGAAAGGCCCCTGGCACAGTGGGGACGGGTGGGCGGGTGCCTGGGGCTCCCAGTGCAGCTTCGGGCTCCCCTCCTTTCAGCGGATGAGACCGAGATCTCCTTTGACCCCGAGAACCTCATCACGGGCATCGAGGTGATCGATGAAGGCTGGTGGCGCGGCTACGGGCCCGACGGCCACTTTGGCATGTTTCCTGCCAACTACGTGGAGCTCATTGAGTGAGGCTGCCTGTGGCCTCGTCCCCACCCCACGTGGCCTTACTGCTGGAGGTGGCGGCGCGACACTGCACCCCATCTTTCTGGCATGGGCCGCAAATGCAGCAATAACCCAGTGGTTCCCACACGCTTCCAGCAGCCCCCACAGCAGGGGCCTCTGCCTTTCCTGTTCCCTGCAGCTCTGAGGGGTGGTGGTTGGGGAGCCGAGACGTGGACTCGGCGGCTCATGCCCAGTCGGTCCCGGCAGCTCTGGCAGCAGCAGCTGGTCTGGGTCTTGCTCCGTGCTCCTGCTCCTCTGTCCCCTGCCTGGCTCTGGGCACTGGGGATGGGACAACAAGGCCCCTGAGTACCTGGGCGCAGCGGCAAACACATCTGTGCTCTTGCCTGCTGGCCCTGTGGCGACACCTGCCGTCTCCCCCTGTCCCAGACCCCCCTGCCCCCACCTCTGTTCGTGGAGTCAGCATTGCCCACCCAGGCCCCAGCTCCGATGCCGTGACAGCCTGGCGGCCCCGGGTGAAACCCACCTTCCTGGTGTCTGGGAGTGCTGCAGCCACCTGGACGAGGCATAAAGATTAAGATGTGACTGATGTCTCTTTCTCTCTCTCTCTCATCAATAAAAATCAAAAAATAAAAAAGGTTTAAGATGTGAGTGAAGTGAGCCTCCTGCGCTTGTTCTCTGGGAGGGCTGAGGGCCTGCCTTGTCCCTTCCACAGGGCCTGTGCCCAGGCGGGACCGCGTGAGTGTGCGTGTGTGTGTGTGCGTGTGCGTGTGTGTGTGTGTGTGTGTGCGCGCGCGCGTGCAGTGAGGCACCTGGCACCCAGTGACACGGGAGAGTCCACTTCCTGTGTGCCCTGGGTGGAGGCTGTACTGAGGAGGCCCCAGGGTGGAAGCAGGTGGCCAGGCTGCAGGCAGGCCTCATTGATTTCTCTCCCACAAAGACGATAGTGCCCCTCACCCCCAGCTTGGAGGCCCCGTGAGTCAGGTGTCCCCAGTTTTGAGGCCATCTGTGGGCATGTCCCCAGGCAGAGGGACTCGGAGACAGCAGAGCACAAGCATCTAAAGGGAGCCAGACGGGTCACTTAGACTCCCTAGAGCAGTGATGGCGAACCTATGACACGCGTGTCAGAGGTGACATACGAGCTCATTTTTTTGGTTAATTTTTCTTTGTTAAGTGGCTCAGCCTCCCCAGTCACCTGAGCTGGGTATTCTAGGTGCACCCCTGTGTGGGCTGTGTGGGCTGTGTGCACTGTCTTATTGTAGTTGAGCCTTGATTGTTGTTGGCATCACTGAGAGGAATTGACCCCCAGGCCAATTTGCTGTGAGGATCAGCTATGCCCGTGGTTGGCAAACTGCAGCTCGCGAGCCACATGCGGCTCTTTGGCCCCTTGAGTGTGGCTCTTCCTAAGCCTTAGGAGTACCCTAATTAAGTTAATAACAATGTACCTACCTATATAGTTTAAGAAATTTGGCTCTCAAAAGAAATTTCAATCGTTGTACTGTTGATATTTGGCTCTGTTGACTAATGAGTTTGCCGACCACTGCCCTAGAGCAAAGTTACCAAGCGGGGCTTTTGCTTTGGGGGTCACCACAGGGACTTGTTAGATCCACCTCATGGCCAGGGATGGGGGCCAGGTCCCTACACAATGGGCTGGGAAGACAGGTGGGGCCAGGCGCCCCTTGGGCAGCGTTTGTGCATCTCGGCCCTGAGTGAGCGCTGGGCACGCGGGCCACGCTGGACACGAGGTGGGAGAGATGCCTTTATTGCCAGAGCGGACGCTTCACTTGGCCTTGCCCTGGGCAGCCACAGCCTCCATGGCCTTGCGAACGGTCTCCTCGTCGCCCAGGAACCGCATGGGCTTGGTGGGCTTCAGGGCGTGGTCCAGCTCGTACACAATGGGGATCCCCGTGGGCAGGTTCAGCTCCATGATCGCCTGCTCCGACATCCCTGGATGGGAGGAACCAAAGGCCTCAACCCTCCTGGCCTGTCCACCAGCTGCTGACCTTTGCGAGCCACGGCTGGTCGGCCGGCATGGCCTCCCTGCCAACCGCAGGGCTGGAGACATGTGCCTGAGAAGGTCAGAGCAGACCGGAGACGAGGCTACAGAAATAGCCGGCAAAGCCAAGGGCTGTGTCCTGGGCCGGCGCCCGGTCTGGCCCAGTGTGGACTCCGGCCAGATGGCCAATGCTTGGTTCAGTTGGGACATTAGCCATTCGGTTACAGGGAGTGCTAAGCTGGGGCTTCCCAAGCAGGGGAGCAGGGGTGCTGCTACCCAACACGGTGGGCGAGGGACAGCAGGGAGTCACTGGGGCCGCGGTGGGCAGAGGCTCTACCAGGCAGAAGGCTGTGTTTTCTGAGGAAACTCGACCCGACTGCCTCCCGCCGGCCCAGCCTGGAATAGCTCGCCCTTTGGTATTTCCACCCCCAGGAAGCAAGGAGTCGAGTTCCCAGCAGTGGAGACCCCAGCATGCTCCCAGCATGCTGGCACGAGGGGGCATCGTCTGTCTGCCTGCTGGGCTCAGTGCCCACTGAGGGGTCTGCGGGACCTGGCATCCCGGGCAGGACAGGAGCTGGCCAGGCCTCCGGGCCAGCCTGTCTGCTCTGGCAGCTGCCCACCACCCCACCTCCCTTCCTCTCTTCTTGATCCCAAACTTGAAGGCCATCAGAGGCTAACAGACTGTCCCGCTGTCTGAAACTCCTGGAGGGCCAGGTCATGTCAGGGTCGTTTGCCAAGGAAGCCCCAGGAGAGCCGCCGTGCGCTTCAGCAGGAGCCTAGCTGTGAGCCTGGGGTCTGCAGGCTGCTGCACACCTGCACCCTTTGGAGTGGTCTCACCTCTGCCTGAGTGGGTGGAGCTGGGGCAGGGGCGGGGCTTTGCCCTGGGCCCAGGTCCAGCAGCCAGCAGTGCCAGGTGTTGCCCCAGAACAGTGATGGCAAACCTATGACACACGTGTCAGAGGTGACACGCGAGCTCATTGTTTTGGTTGATTTTTCTTTGTTAAATGGCATTTAAATAGATAAAATAAATACCAAAAATATAAGTCTTTGTTTTACTATGGTTGCAAATACCAAAAAATTTCTATATGTGACACGGCACCAGAGTTAAGTTAGGGTTTTTCAAAATGCTGACACGCTGAGCTCAAAAGGTTCGCCATCACTGCCCCAGAAGGTGGTTGAGGCCCAGCAAGTGACACGACTGGACCAGGGACACACAGCAAAGCAGGGTTTGGAGCCAGACAGCCCTGCTTTTCCTGGGCAAGATGCCACCCCAGCACCCCCACCTGCCCAGGGCTCACGTCCAGGAAGCTGGGTGGCTCGGGGCCTCAGCCTCTGTGCAGGGCCTGGCCGGGGTCAGAGTGGGAGGCCTTTCCGCCTTCAGTCTTCAGAAGGAAACGACAGTGTCCCAGGACATGCACAGAAATGCAACCAAATCCTACAAGCTGTTTGCTACATGGTTTGCCCAACTCTCCCTGTTCAATTCCATTGGAAAGCCCCTCCCTGGCCCTGAGGCCTGCAGAGCTGCCTCAGCCAGGCAGTGGGCACCTGCTGAAATGCGACCTGGGCAGGTTCAGGGCCCGGTGTCACTCTCCCACCCCCACCCACGTCCCACGTGAGGTGGGCCTCACCTTCCAGGTGCTTGACGATGCCCCGCAGGCTGTTCCCGTGGGCAGCGATGAGCACCCTCTTGCCGGCCTTGATCTGGGGGGCGATCTCCTCATTCCAGAAGGGCAGGGCCCTGGCGATGGTGTCCTTGAGGCTCTCACAGGTGGGCAGTTCCCCAGGCTTCAGGCCTGCGTACCGGCGCTCCTGGGGGTGTCCACGGCACAGTTCACATCCCCAGCAGCCGGCCCCCCACCTGGCCACCCCTTCCCAAGGCCCCTGACCCCAGGCTTGCCCTCAGGCACCCTGAGTGGCCCACCTTGCTGATGATGCTGTAGTAAGGGTGCTTCTCGTCCATGGGGGGAGGCGGGATGTCGAAGGAGCGCCTCCAGATCTTCACCTGCTCCTCCCCGTGCTTGGCGGCCGTCTCCGCCTTGTTGAGGCCCGTCAGGCCCCCGTAGTGCCGCTCGTTGAGACGCCAGGTGCGTACCACCGGCAGCCACATCTGGTCTGTGCCTTCCAGGATGGTCCAGAGTGTGCGGATGGCCCGCTTCAGCACCGACGTGTAGCAGATGTCAAACTCCATCTTGGCATCCTTGACGGCCTGGGCCCCCCGCCTGGCCTCCTCGGCCCCCTTCTCACTCAGCTCCGCATCGAACCAGCCGCAGAAGCGGTTCTCCTGGTTCCAGGTGCTCTCACCATGCCGGACCATCACCAGGCGGTGGGTGGACATGGCTGCGGTGCTGGGGACCGTGGCAGGCTCCCGAGGAAGACAGCTGCCTCTGCCCTGGCACCAGCTTTATAACAGTTCCTCCCCACCCCCACCCGACCAACTGCCAATCTGCATTCCAGGCCGACAGGCAGCTGCAGGTGGCCAGCAGCAAACACTCCAACTCTCAGGGGAGGGTGGGCCGAGATGGACTTAAAATAGTTCCACAGCCACTATGTCCAGAGCCCAGGGGGTGTGGGGGGGGGGGGACACGGCTGCTGGGCAGGGCTGGGAGTGAAGGACGGAAACCCTGGCCTGGACCAGCCTGAGGGGTGGGCACAGCAGAAACAAGGTCTCTCCAGGGACCCCTCCCTCCCAGGGGCCTGGCACATGACACAGGCACAAAGTCTCCCCACCCCCCGCCCCAGCCCACCCCGGCTTCCTCCTGTCCCTGAGCACAGCTGGGAGCCCATCCGCATGCTGTGAGGAAGCACCTGGAGTCAAGGGGGGCTGTGCAGGTGTGTGGACTGTGCATATGTGCCTGTGTGCTGCAATCACGTCTGTGTTGCATGTGCCTGCATGTGTGCATGGGCCTATGTGTGAATGTACACGTGTGTGGACTGTGTTGTTTAAGCCCAAACTTTCCTCATCTTCTGTCTGGATGACCTACCCATTGTGGAGAGGGGAGTTCTGAAGTCCTGCTGGTCTGTACCCTGTCCCTTCTCCCTCGGGTCTGGTAGTGTGTGCTCATCTATGTCGGTGCTCCTGTGTTACGTTCTCTTGCTGGGTTGACCCCTTTATTATGTAACCACCTTCTCTGTCCCCTTAGAGACTTCGAATAAAGCCGGTTTTGTCTGATGTAGGTATAGTCCTGCTTCCTTTTGGCTTCCATGGGCATGAAGTATTGTTTTCCATCCCTTCACTTTCTCAGTGTGTCCTTAAAGCTGAAGCGAATCTCTCACAGGCAGCACACAGGTGGGTCTTGTTTTTATAATCCATTCAGCTGCTCTACTATATATATATATAATTATATATATGAAATTGATTTCAGGGAGGGAGAGGGAGATAGAAACATCAATGATGAGAATCATTGATTGGCTGTCTCCTCACGCCCCACACTGGGGATCAAGCCTGCAACCCAGGCATGTGCCCTGAACCAGGAATCAAACTGTGACCTCCTGGTTCATAGGTTGATAGTCAACCACCTGAAAATATTTCCACAGCACAGGGACGAGCTGCCTCCACACCACAGGGAGCTCTCACTGGAGTGGCAGTGGCACCCATGACTTGTCAGGGTGGCTCCTGTGGACTGAGTCCTTGTATAGGGTCCCCCACAAAGAATGCACAGCCATGTACCCTGGGGACCATTGGGCTGAGAGTCCTCTGAACAGGAAGTGGGAGGAAGGTTCCTCTGGGCACAAGCAGGCCCGTGGCTGCCTGGTCAGGTATAATCCGTGCACTCAAAGTTGAGGTGCTGTGAGAGGGAACTTGCCAGCCCCACAGATGTTGCTCCCATCAGAGAAAATAATTTCTTCTGAACCACATCTCCTTCCATTTCTTTATTTTTTATTTATTTTTATTTTTTTCCTTCCATTTTTCATAGGAAGCTCAGCTCCGTTATGATCTACGGGCCACGGTGGTGCCTGCAGTCCTCTGTTGACGGAACTGTCACGTGAGGCCACAACGGTACTAACAGTGAAAGACTGAAACCAGGAACATGATGGTCTTGGCCACGGCTGTTAGGTGAGAAAAGGAAATAAAAGGCACCCGCTGTGGAGAGCGGCTACAGCGTTTGGACAGGTTCAAGCCTCGGACTAATGAGAGGGCACAGCCCTCCCAGCACAATTACAGCCAAAGGCTACAGCTGTAACCCTTGACCTTATGGCCCGAACCTGTGGTCCCACCTGGCTGAGGGATGTGGGCGGCGGGAGGGGCAGCAAGTAAACAGAGCTTGATCAGATGCATGTAACTGAGTAGATTCGAAACCCGGGAGAACGTTGTAACCACGCCCTTACTTTGCCTCGTGGAATCTGCTATAAAATAAAGACTTGGCTTGCAGGCTGTGGTGCTGTCTCTCCATCAGGGAGCAGCGTCCCACCCAGCCTCAGCTTTCTTCTCTTGTCTGTCTTTTCTCAATCCTTCACGGCCCCCTCTCAGGTTCACCCATGGCCGTGCTGGCGCGGCACAACCCACATTGGAAAGGAAGAAGCAAAGCTCTCTCTCTGTGCAGGTGGCATGGCCTTGTATGTAGGAAATCATAAGGAATCCTCCAAAAGGTGATCAGATATAATAAAAATTCAGCAAGGTTCCACGATAAAAAATCAACTGTATGTCTACACACTATTGAACAATCAGAAGGCAAAATTAATAAAATTCCACTTAAATAACATCAAAATAAAATACTTAGTAATAAATGTAATAATTTATTAAAGTTTATAAATTTTTAATATAAATTTATTCTGAAAACTTTAAAGCATCACTAAAACTAAAGGAGATCTAAATAAACAGAGAGGTACTTGTGTTTATGGATTGGAAGACAGTACTGTAACCATGGCAATACTCTCCAGATGCCCAGCTCACCCTTCAGGACCCCAGGGTCACACAGCCATGGGGCCCACCTCACCAACAGCGGGTGGTGAGGCATTGATTGGCTGTCTCCTCACGCCCCACACTGGGGATCAAGCCTGCAACCCAGGCATGTGCCCTGAACCAGGAATCAAACTGTGACCTCCTGGTTCATAGGTTGATAGTCAACCACCTGAAAATATTTCCACAGCACAGGGACGAGCTGCCTCCACACCACAGGGAGCTCTCACTGGAGTGGCAGTGGCACCCATGACTTGTCAGGGTGGCTCCTGTGGACTGAGTCCTTGTATAGGGTCCCCCACAAAGAATGCACAGCCATGTACCCTGGGGACCATTGGGCTGAGAGTCCTCTGAACAGGAAGTGGGAGGAAGGTTCCTCTGGGCACAAGCAGGCCCGTGGCTGCCTGGTCAGGTATAATCCGTGCACTCAAAGTTGAGGTGCTGTGAGAGGGAACTTGCCAGCCCCACAGATGTTGCTCCCATCAGAGAAAATAATTTCTTCTGAACCACATCTCCTTCCATTTCTTTATTTTTTATTTATTTTTATTTTTTTCCTTCCATTTTTCATAGGAAGCTCAGCTCCGTTATGATCTACGGGCCACGGTGGTGCCTGCAGTCCTCTGTTGACGGAACTGTCACGTGAGGCCACAACGGTACTAACAGTGAAAGACTGAAACCAGGAACATGATGGTCTTGGCCACGGCTGTTAGGTGAGAAAAGGAAATAAAAGGCACCCGCTGTGGAGAGCGGCTACAGCGTTTGGACAGGTTCAAGCCTCGGACTAATGAGAGGGCACAGCCCTCCCAGCACAATTACAGCCAAAGGCTACAGCTGTAACCCTTGACCTTATGGCCCGAACCTGTGGTCCCACCTGGCTGAGGGATGTGGGCGGCGGGAGGGGCAGCAAGTAAACAGAGCTTGATCAGATGCATGTAACTGAGTAGATTCGAAACCCGGGAGAACGTTGTAACCACGCCCTTACTTTGCCTCGTGGAATCTGCTATAAAATAAAGACTTGGCTTGCAGGCTGTGGTGCTGTCTCTCCATCAGGGAGCAGCGTCCCACCCAGCCTCAGCTTTCTTCTCTTGTCTGTCTTTTCTCAATCCTTCACGGCCCCCTCTCAGGTTCACCCATGGCCGTGCTGGCGCGGCACAACCCACATTGGAAAGGAAGAAGCAAAGCTCTCTCTCTGTGCAGGTGGCATGGCCTTGTATGTAGGAAATCATAAGGAATCCTCCAAAAGGTGATCAGATATAATAAAAATTCAGCAAGGTTCCACGATAAAAAATCAACTGTATGTCTACACACTATTGAACAATCAGAAGGCAAAATTAATAAAATTCCACTTAAATAACATCAAAATAAAATACTTAGTAATAAATGTAATAATTTATTAAAGTTTATAAATTTTTAATATAAATTTATTCTGAAAACTTTAAAGCATCACTAAAACTAAAGGAGATCTAAATAAACAGAGAGGTACTTGTGTTTATGGATTGGAAGACAGTACTGTAACCATGGCAATACTCTCCAGATGCCCAGCTCACCCTTCAGGACCCCAGGGTCACACAGCCATGGGGCCCACCTCACCAACAGCGGGTGGTGAGGCGCCCCAGCCCCCACCCCTACCCCTCCACCCCTCGCACATCAACACTTTCAGAAAACAGCCTGGTTTGCTCCATGTTATCATTTCATTGCATCTTGGGCAGGGTGTGCATGGGGGAGTGGGGGTGCACAGGGGCTCCCCCAGGAGGGTGAGGGTTGCAGCAACCTCTCCAGCCTACAGATGGTCAGTGTCCAAGGGCATCCATGATCTGGCTGGCTGAGCAGCCCCCCTTCCCGAGGAGTGGCTGAGGGCCGCAGAGGGGATTAGGCGTTTCTCTGCTCTGGGGGAAGGTATGCCAGGCCCAGATGTCTGAAGATGTCCTCCTCGGTGGCCGCCTGGAAAAAGGTCTTCTGCAACAGAGTGTGGGCCTTGGTGCTGGGCCGTCCACCATGCGGCTCCCCTCAGGACCCTCTCTGTCGGGTCCAGGACCCCCTGCCTTCTGCCCCGGCCACATACCTGCTCGGGGTCAAACAGCCCATGGCTGTTCAGCCACAGACCCCGCTCCTTCCGGCTAAATCTGCGGAGCTCCCGCTCAAAATGCTGGGGGGAAGAGAAGCGTCAGCAGGGCCACAGCCCGGCCCCCGGCCCCCGGC